TTTTCTTCCGTGATGGAGTGTTCCCTCCTTGTGATTATTCATGTCAAAACTGGTTCCTTTGCTAAGCCCAAACCAATCTATGACTACAGTTTTTCTTACATTCTGACTTTTCCGTTCCTTTACAGATCGAATGGTTACAGTTGGTCGCTGGGCAAAGGGGATGAGTGCAGACTATGAAGAAATTTTGGATGTGCCTAAACCACAGAAACCCAAAACGAAGATACCTAAAGTTGTTAATTTTTGATAATGACTAGGACTATCATAAGTTACCATCTCATTGTTATATTCTGAACTGGGCCTCATTCACAAGTTGGAGCTGGGCTCCCTTGGAGAGGCCTATATTGTAGATATTGGTATGATCTGGGGAGGTCAAATAGTTAACTGAGTTCTGTCCAAGGAGCACTTCTGCCTGGAGAAAATCACTGAAGAAAAGCATAAGATGTTTAAATTGGATTCTTTAAAATAACTTTTTTAGCAGAACTTACGTGTAACTAAGTGGTTATAGACCTAATTGTAACAATCATCTTTTTTTAAAAAAATATATTTTTATTGATTTCAGAGAGGGAGAGGGAGAGAGAGATAGAAACATCAGTGATGAGAGGGAATCATTGATTGGCTGCCTCCTGCACACCCCCCACTGGAGATCAGGCCCGCAACCCAGGCATGTGCCCTTGACTGGAATCGAACCCGGGATACCTCAGTCCGCAGGCTGACGCTCTGTCCACTGAGCCAAACTAGCTAGGGCCTATCATTTTTTTTCTTAAAAACAAAGTTATGCAGCCCTGTCTGGGTGGCTCAGTTGGTTGGAACATTGACCCATACACCAAAAAGGTTGTGGGTTCGATTTCCAGCCAGTGTGGGTAGGGGAGGAAGCAACTGATTGATGTTTCTCTCAAGCATCGATGTTTCTCTTGCTCACTCACTGTCTCTCTCAAAAATCAGTGGAAGTGTATCCTTAGGTGAGGATTTAAAAAATTAAATAAAAGTATGTATTCATCTGACACTTCTAAGCTAATTAATTGCTTTGCATTTGGAAATGAATTTTTTGTTCTATTGTTTTCTAGCTCAAAGTATCAATTATTTATAAGTTGTCAACAAAATCATTTGTATTTTTATTTTAAATATATTTTTTACTGATTTTAGAGAGGAAGGGAGAGGGAGAGAAAGATAGAAACATCAATGATGAGAGAGAATCATTGACTGGCTGCCTCCTGCCTGCCCCCCACTGGGAACTGAGCCTACAACCCGGGCATGTGCCCTGACCGGGAATCACACCTCCTGGTTCATAGGTCGATGCTCAACCACTGAGCCACACTGGCCGGGCTGCATTTTTAAAATATTTAATAAAAATGTATTTGGTATTTTTCTGAATACCTAATTCTGGATTTAATTAGTCATTGTCCCTTAATGCCCATTAACAATCTCTTTGGAATCACAATCTTTTATGAACCCTAAATGACATTAATTTTTGTTTCAGATTTCACATAAAGAATTACATATTTTTGAGGTTAAAATTGAAGAGTATCTCACCTTAGCAGCTCTTTCTTTGCTCTTAATGTTCAAAAAAGAAATTCAGTTTGGAGTATTTGGCCGGAATAATGGCACATAACGGACTGTATATCAAACTTAATAGCATTTTGTTCACATGTTTTAGATGAGTCTGGGTGCATATCACCATAATAGAGTTAGAACACTAATCAGAGACCCATTAGTGTCTTTGTTTGATTTGATGAATACATGCATACTTAATCCATATATTTCACAAGGCTTACGGCTCCTATTGTGCTGTATAATGCAATGACTGGTGGAGTGTGTATTTCATTTGGAATTTTACCTGATTGGATACATTTGTAACCAAAGGAAACAGCTGTGATTAGTTACTGATGCTTCAAAAGCAAAATATTTACCAAATAAAAAAACACTTTTCTCTATTTCAATATCTATACAACTCAACAGTTCTAGTCTTAATAGGAGCTGTTCTTTTATTTCAGTGAGAGGAGAACGTGACAGGATATGGCTCAGCATCCCAGCGCTTAAGGAAATGGTGCCATGTAAGAGGAATTGCACACGCATACATCTGGAAAAGGACAGCAGTGCTGCCTATAGTCCAGATTTGTTTCATTTGTCCAGTCAGGAGCCAAGGGCTCTGCAGCGTCCAGCCTGCCAGCTGCAAGTTAAGTGTAAGGTTTTCATACAGGTTTCGATGAGGAGATGTTAGTGTCCATTTTGTCTTCCTTGGGTTACTTTTGTTAAATTTCAATGGCCTATAAGTTAGTGACATAATTAGAAATAAACTGCAGGTACTAAATGTAATATTAAAACAGTGTATGGACACTGGCAACGGAATTCACCAAATTCTGACATCCTAAGAGATTGTGTATTCCTTGAAAGGAATTATAGATGTTTATTAGCTACAAATGCCTAAAGTATAAAACAAACATATATTCATTATTTCCCAAGCACCTACTATGTTCCTGGATTCTCTTAGGCACGTGGGATTGTGGCAGTGAATAAGACAAGCAAGACCACATGCATTCTAATGGGGTTTTAAACAATCTTATCCCTTCCCCTTTTTTGCTACAATTATATTCCAAACCATTAGGCATGAATCTCAACTTGCTCTTTTCTCGGCAATCCCCACGCCCAACCCCCATGGTCAACTCTCCCTTATGTCCTTTAGGCCTCTCTACAGTCTGCTTAATAGTCTTTCTGTGACCAGTCTTATAGAAAACATCTCCTTCCTCATCCCAATAATTTTTTATTCTCTAATTTTCTGCATAATTTATATCCCCGCCTAACACTATTTGTCCTTTCTTCACCAGATTATAGGTTACATCAGGACAGGAATTTGGACTTGCTCATTAGTATATCCCAAGAAGTACTCAGCATATAGAAACTTCCACTTTTGTTGAGTGAATTATATTAACAAGTGACATAAAGGGAATTAACAGAAAGATGTTGCAAGTGATTGTATCTACCTTAGATAATAAAGGGGAGCCCTTGAGGGAGGGATTTTTCTTCTGAAATCTGAATGACAAGAAGGAACCAGTTGTGAAGATAATGGGGAAGAGCATTTAGGGAGAAAGAATAGTCAAAGCTCATAAGAGGTGACTGGCTTGTCATATTCAAGGGGCAGAAAGATGTGGTCTTTTGTGACTGTCTTCCTTCACTTAGTAATGTTAAGGTTCATCCATAACTTGTATAGGTATACAGGGAGGTATATAGGGGTAAGGCTTGGATATCTTGATGTGAGATCATAGATAAATGAAGTTATACTGAAGCCAATATGACTGGAAAAGAGTGAGGAATAAACTAGTAGGAAAAGGTCAGATAGTTAACCGGGGTCATAGTTTACAGGCTCTACTAGTTAATTTTTGCTGTGGAACCACCACAAAAATCTCAGAAGGCTGCAATAATAAACCTTAGCTCATGCCTGTGAGTCAAATCTAGGCTGGGCTTACCTGGACCACTGCTAATGTCAGAGTTGGCTTGGTCACATCTGTATAAAGTTTGGTTTGGGGTCTACTGAGCTAAGCCAGGCTCAGGTGAAGCAGCTCAGTTCCACGTCTCTCTTCCTTTCCCTGGGACCAGCAGGCTAGCCTTGGCATGTTTTTCTCATGAAAGTGTCAGAGATGTAAGAGGGCAAGTGCATTTGCAAAAACACTTTGATTGCATCATGTCTGCTAACTTTCCATGAATGAGTCACATGGCCAAGAACACAAGAAATAGACTAGTACACCCCATTCATGGAGGTGGGGATGGTGGTGAGTAAATATTTCTGAAAAATAATCTAATATACCAAACAGAGCCTTATTGACCATTATAAGGTGTTGGCTTTTACTGTGTGATGTGAAAAATTGTTCATGTTTTTTAAAAATGTATTTTTATTTCAGAGAGGAAGGGAGAGAGAGAGACAGAAACATTTATAATGATAGAGAATCATTGAGTGGCTGCCTCCTGCACACCCCCTACTGGGGATTGAGCCTGAAACCCGGCATGTGCCCTTTACTGGAATTGAACCTGGGACCCTTCGGTCTGCAGGCCAGTACTCTGTTCTCTAAGCCAAACCAGTTAGGGCTATTCATGGATTTTGAGAAGAAATATAGCATCATCCGACTGCTGGGTTGAGAGTGGATTAAAGGAAGAAGCAATAACAAACAGGTTATAATCCAGGTGCGATAACTGGTGCTTTGGATTAGGGTTGTGGTAGAGTTGATTAGAAGGACTCAGGTACTGGTTATTTTTTAACAGGGCTATAAGATTTGCTGAGCAGAGGTGGAGATTTGACAAATGAATAGCAGGATGTATCTAACCTCTTAAGTGGTCTAAACTCTAATGGAGACGTCCTTCAACTCTTAAAGGTTATCCTGTAGAGGGGGCTGACTTAACATATGCAGGTTTGTCTTATGAGTTAAGGCAAATCACAGAGTAGAATAATGAATGTTGAAGTCAAGGGAATAAAGTGCTAATGTAATGGTTATGAAAGAAGAGCTCAGTTAATATTCTCCTTCTCTGCAATAACACATTTTGCAGGTACTTTCCATGTGTATATATCGCAGTAGATACTAAATTGGTCAGCCACCTTGAGTATATGTTAAATGACACTAGTAAAGTAGTTCCTATTACTAAAATTGATTGGCTCCCATTACGCTTTAATGTCTTCCTAATTTAAAGCTCTAAAACATGTAATACATCTTGTCAAATGCTCCTGACATACAGATGCCTGCGGTACGTGGAACAGTCCACACTATTAATCAGCTAACCAACTTGTCATTTTTTATTTTATAAAATTTCAAACAACACATTTCACCTCTGTAGTCTAAAAATATTTATGATTATTTTAGCCATATTTGTACCATTTTACAGAACACACAGTATTGCACATGGCAGTTTTCTAATGCCTGTGCCCATGGACGGGGGCATCTAAAAACATTTTTAAAGCTCTTTTAATGCTAGTTCAAACCAATGGTCTTTGACCTGAGATGCACTTTGGTTTTTAACCTCTTCCTAACTTCATTTTGCTTAGGCCAATTATTTAGTGGCCGAAAAGCTTGCCAAGTGTCATGGATAAGGGTGCTTGGAATTAAAAGTGGGAAATCAATTACAGATAATTGAAAGTTTATCACTTAAAATATACTTATTGACCCATCATCAGTAGCATTCTCTATGAATCGTATACAGGAACCTGCTGTCTCTTCAATGGATTTTGACCAGCCACCAAGATTCCCAGCAAAGTAAGGCAAGATGCTAGCAGAAATCTGGTTAAAATAAGATACCTGTTTCAAAAAGAAAATACAGTATTTCAGTTTCTTACTGACATGGAGCTTTTTCAAGCAGAGAACTGAGTCTTGTTAGTATAGGGAAGGCTATTAATCCTACTCTTCTGGGGACCTGGAATGGATCTGAAAGGATGACAGGATTCCCCTGGTATGGACACACATTGCAGAATTATAATTAATTAGGAAATATGAGTAAAAGACTTCTCATAGCTGTAGAAACAAAGTAACCTGCAGATGTTTCATCAAACTTACAGTGCATGAACTGCTGTCAATAGCATGGATGAGAAAGCCAGCACATATGATTTCACTTCTGACGTACTGTGGAGAAGGTGGGACCGATGGCAGAATGACCGACTTCACTGCCACGGTGTAAGTGTTACTGAAAGATAAAAGGACACTTTCCAAGTTCTTGTGAGAAACAAAGAATAGTTGTTGGAACTATTCTAACATTCTGGCTATATTCAAGCCATAGTAATATGGACCAGAAGTGTTTTCTGTCTAAGAATTATATACCAAAACCGGTTTGGCTCAGTGGATAGAGCGTCGGCCTGCGGACTGAAAGGTCCCGGGTTCGATTCCGGTCAAGGGCATGTACCTTGGTTGCAGGCACATCCCCAGTGGAAGATGTGCAGGAGGCAGCTGATCGATGTTTCTCTCTCATCGATGTTTCTAACTCTGTATCTCTCTCCCTTCCTCTCTGTAAAAAATCAATAAAATATATTAAAAAAAGAAAGAATTATATATACTTGCAGAATTCCACAAAGATGGAACCAATCTCCAAACTGGTTTTATTGTGCTCTAATGGGCTGTAATTTCACTTTCCTTTTAAATGAAAGAATAATACCCATTGTTTTAAAGAAGCCCCAAACAACAAAGAACCCTACAGAATAGAATATAGAGGTTTTCTTCAGTTCACCCTAGTCAATGCACTCCCTCGAGATGATTACACTTAAATTTTTGGTGTGTATTCCTCCAGACCTTTTTATAAATATATGACATTTATGTAAGAAAATGCACAGATATATTTTTACATAAATACAATTATTTAACAAATATTTGTCTATAATTTGATTTTTCACCTAACAATAAATCTTTGGAGATGCCTCTAGTTACTTTAACCTTTTAAATGCTGGCAGAGTACTCCATAGCATGGCTCTACCACAATTTATAAGATGGTCTTTGGTCTATTTCTAATATCTTTTGCCATAATTGATATTACACTGAACATCCATGTGCATTAATATTTATACATGTGTGGGATTATTTCTACAGGCCAGCTTTGACATCGGGAATGATGCTGGCCAGTTTCAGGGGTAGACCTTAACTGTCCTGGCAGCTTCCACTTGTCTCTTTGAGTACTTGCTCTTGGGGCCCTTCTCCTTAGAATGTGCTTGGAGAAGTACAATGCCCACAGAGAAGCCATGGGTAGATGCCGATTGACAGCCCTAGGGGGCAGCGGCCATTTTGGATATCTAGCACAATGAAGCCTTTGTAAATCCTAAACCAATTCCTGGTATTTTATTTGGCTTTTACTACATTTTTACTGATAGTGGAATATTTCAATGGTTTGCTAAATATGAGTTTTACATCTGCACAGAGAAAAAGAAAAGGGAACTGCTTTAGGAATCTTGCATGGTGCTTTGTATATAACTGGCACTTACCATATGATTGTTTGGATTGTGTTTGTTTTTTTTAATGATAACTAAGGTACATCTAGAAAAATTTCAGATGAACATCATTCAAGACCAGAAATGCTTACATTGACTTCCTTATTTTCATATCAACTTTTGCTTTCTACACTATACTATAAAACATTGCTGTAACACTTGAATTTCATTTACTCACCTATCTTTAAGAGATCTTCGTGATACAAGTACGACCAAGTCTTTGGGTTTGTCACCACTCGCTATAGGACAAGTGATATAATATATTTGATCATCTTCACTCACCCAGTCTATGACTTCACAGGACCTGCGTAAATAGAACAGTGAAAGAAAGGCTGTACTTTTCTACCTGATTGAATAAGGCAGTTACTTCTTTTGTAACCATCCCTCCAAAGCCAGTCTATCTTTAGAAAGCTGTTTGGTCAGAAGAAATAACACTGCATGTGATGGTGAACATGGTGGCCACCTGAGTCTAAGGTCACTGGCCACAACACTTCAGAGAAAAGCATTTCGCTGTTTTCCACAAAAATTATTTTCTGTAGGATCAAGTAATAACATTTTGAAGACTAGCGAATTATATGGACAGTCCAAGAAGAACTCAGGTAAAGGGATATGGTATGTTAGAAAGAACACTAAGTTTGGAATCAAACAACTTGCCTTTGAATCCTGGACTGCCATTTAGTAGATGTGTTATGTTAGGGCAAATCACTTTATTTTGTCACTTTATTTTTTCTATCTGTAAAATGTAGATAATAATACCTTTGGGGTTATTGTGAGGATTAAATGCACACACCTGGCACAGTACCTGAATCATAGTAGGTAGATAAGAAAAGTAAGTTGAATAAGAATTCATTCCTCCATTATTCAAGTTCAATATGGCTAGAATGTCAGGTGACATAGCAAATAGAGGGAGAAACATTTGAAAAGAATTAACACCAAAGTTTAGGCATTGTTCTTACTAAAAGCTTTGTACTTACAGGGTATCTACAAATACCGATGCAAGAAAATCGTGAAGTGTTTCTCTTCTCTTGGAGTGTTTTATTATGACAGCATTAACCATATTGTATCATTCGGGCACCCATGCAATGTAACACATGGCCCTGGAGCTGTTTCACTTTCGTGGTCTTAAATTATCTATTACATGGTATTAACCATAATGAGGTTCAGTCATTTTAAAGATGAACCTCTACCTCATGAGGATTAGGAAGTCAGCAGTAATGCCTACTATTATAGGAAGCCCACCTCACCAGTCCTTCCCTTTCAGCAAGGTGTCCTGGAAGCCCTGAGTGGGCCCAGGAGCTGGAATCCTTGGAGAGGCAGTGTGGCCTGAGTGTGGTCAGTCCCTGTCAGCACAGTTGACAAGGTACACAGCTCCCTCTTCCAGGAAAGGAGGGCAAGTAGAGGAGACTGAATTAGGGATGCAGGAGACAAAGGTAACAGAAGTAAGAGATGTAGGCTGACGGAAGTGGCCCCTGATCAGGGAGAGCAGGAAGGAATGTCTTTCACCTCCGTACTCACACAGCTTCCTCCCAGCTTCTCACCTGGGAGTGCTGCTTCACAGAAAAACAAAACAAAGGGACCACCAATTAAATATCAAGAGTGTGAAGTGAGAAGAACAGTTCGATAATCTTTTCCTCAAGAGCAGTGAAACTGTGTTCAAGTGTGGAATTCAGAGCCTGATAGACCTGGGCTCCAATTTGGGTTCCATCGCTTTATTGCTGTGCTATCTTGGCAATCTCCCTCATTAAATGAAAATACTATCAAACTTGAAGAGTTATTGGCAGGATTACAATAGATGTGGGTAAAGCATGTCGACTCAATATAGATGATAAATAAGTGATTATAATAACTTGGTTTTGTGTTTCTTAATAGCACCTAATATCATTTTCTATGCAGAGCAAGCTTTAAAAAATAGACTTTAATTAATAAAACGAGGTCACATGTTGGCAATGGAGATGCAATGCAATCTGGAGGTTATCTTTTCTATCATGTCAGGGTTGATTAAGAAAATATTTTAAATTTATTCTTACACATAATGGGGGTCCCACAAAGGTCGCTTGGTAAAGTCAGACAATAGATGATAAGCCAAGTGTGCTGGTTTTTCCACGTGCTTTTCAACCCAAACAGATAAAATATCTTGTTCTTCCAGAGTATATATTTTTATCTAAAAGATAATAAAAATAAATTACAAAACAAAAATGGATGTTTTTACTTAAAAACATTACACATGTTGCCACACTGGTATGGCTCAGTGGTTGACCTATGAACCAGGTTAACCTATGACCTATGAACCAGGAGGTCACGGTTCAATTCCCTGTCAGGGCACATGCCTGGGTTGCAGGCTTGATCCCTAGTGGGGGGCATGCAGGAGGCATCCAATCAGTGATCCTCTGTCATCATTGATGTTTCTATCTCTCCCTCCCCCTTCCTCTCCAAAATCAATAAAAACATATTTTTAAAAAACCACCATGGACATACATATGTAGTTATAGGCTGCTGGCATCCAAATAACAATGAAGCCAATGATGGCAACTTCAAACACTTGGATGTCTAGGGCTCTAACCAGGATGCTGTACTTCCGTATTCTCCAAACAACATGTGACTTGAAGATGGGTTATTTAATTATTGTGCAATAGTTCAGGAACAACAGAAAATATCATCAGATTGTTAGGCTGCATCCCCTGCTAAGACCTTGGAGCTGAGGCTGCAGATGTCAGGTGTGCCTTCTCGTGGGCTGAGGTGACCCCAGGAAGTCAGCTGACCACCTCTAGAACCAACTCAGTCACTCAGTGCAGCTGCTGAAGCACCATGTTTCTTCAGCACAAAGCGTTCTTTCAATAGTGACTCATAGGGCAGGCCGATTCCTGGGTTTCTTTCTAATGTCTATTATTCCTTAGCTCAGAGGAGGCCCATCTTGGAGAGCCATGTGACTTATACTGAAACATTACTGTATCCCTGTTACTCTGAACTCTCCTTCTACTGTGCTTTTGCCAATAATCAGAGACATGTGTTCCACATAAGCACACATTTCTCTCCTGCCCATTTTAAATCTCCATCTCTTTCAGGGTGCTTTGAAGTTAGTGTTGAAACTTGTCATCTTATAATAATTCCCATGGCAACAAGCTGTGTGAAGACAAACAAACACAGGGTTAAGACTTCACTGCAGGAATCAAGCAGATGGAATAATCAAGCTGTGAGGGAGAAAACCTTTATTTAAACATAAATATCTTCCAGAAGAGAATGAAGCAATGAGAAAGTGACCACAAGCAGCTCAGAATGGAAAGAAGGGACTATTTGCTTATACCATTTTACCTCTCTGGTTGACCTCAGTGCCAAGCCTGTCTCTCAATAGAGCCCACGGAGGAGAACATAATGTCGGCCCAGAGCACTTACAAAAAGAGAGAAAACCATGCACAGGGCTCCAGTTGGTGGCTGAGACTCACCCAGCATGGGTATGCCTAACTTTGCCCCTTGTACAGCAGGAGTAGAAGGAGGTTCATCGGTGTAAATTCAGAGAGAAGTCACCTTATCAAAGCTTGGTGGCCGTGTAGTTCTAAGCCAGGCTGCTGGAGCTCTGCAGTCTCAGAGGAGGTGAGGGCAGGTGGCCAAGTGAATTCCACAACCTCAAGCATGGTGTGGCCTTAGGGAAGCCATGGTCTAACCAGGGTGGAGTGGGATGTAATACTGGGCTGAGTACTTGTTGAGGGTTGAATTGTGTCCTTTCCAGATTCATAAGTTAAAGTCCTCACCCCTAGGATCTCAGAATGTGACCTCATTTGGAAATAGGGTCATTGTAGATGTAATTGAGATGAGGTTATATTGAAGTAGGATGGGCTCCATATGACCTGTGTCCTTATATAAAGGGAAAATTTGGCCCAGCCAGGGTGGCTCAGTGGTTGAGCATTGACCCAGTAACCCAGAGGTCAGTAGTTCAATTCCTGGTCAGGGTACATGCTCAATGCCCAGTAGGGGATATGCAGGAGGCAACCAATTGATGTTTCTCATTGATGTTTCTATCTCTTTATCCCCATTCTTTTCCCTTTCTCTAAAATCAATAAAATATACATATATACATATATATATAAAATTTGCACGCAGACATGCACACTGGGAGAACGCCACGTGAAGATGAAGGCAGAAGTTGGGTGACACATCTACAAGCTAAGGAACACCAATGATTGCCAGAAAACCACCAGAAGCTCAGGGAGAGGCCTGGAACAGGCTCTCCCTCACTCCTTCAGGAGGAACCAATGCTACCAACACCTTGATCTTAGACTTCTAGCTTCCATAACTGTGAGACAATACATTTTTATTGGTTAAGCCACCCAGTTTGTGGTACTGTTACAGCAGTTCTAGGAGATGGTCACAGCACTTTTCCTGGAAGCTGCTCCCCAGGTTGCAGACACATGCTGCTGCTTCCTACCCTAGAGCCAAAGCAAACATCAGGCTGAGCAGTCACCATTAAACCCTGCCCCTGCAGACCTCTCTAGACTTACCAGTGCCGAGTACAGTACTGTGTGAGTGAATGCTATTTGGACCATTCCTCAGAAGGTAAAGGTAGCAGGAAATCCTCATCGCTGCTCTGTCAGAATCAATGACAGATGCAGATGAAGCAGACAAGGAGAGGCAGAGGTTGATGTTGGCTCTCTTTAAACCCTACTACGTTAGAAAAGCCAACTTTTGCTTAGTGAAAAAATTCTCCAAGACCAACTTTCCAAGAAAACCAGTTCCCTTTCATGCTCAGAAGAATACAGGTTAAATTCCATTTGTAACGAGATCATATAATTACCCTATTTTAGAGGCTACTGCTTCACTGATGATGAAAAACAGTACACATGTTTCAGAGAGCTGGCATTATCGAGCATCTCCTGACAGTCAGCCACTGCTATGTCCTGGGACCATAGTGGTGAGCAAAAGGGCCCTCAGAGAGCATGCAGTCTAGTTAGTGTGGGCACCACCTTCCAAGGGTCTCCTAACATACCTCTGAAACCAGATACAATTAGAATCCAAATGATGCCTGTTCAGTTAAATTTGATGACACACAAAATATTGTAAAAGGTGTTAGAAGAGGTACAAAGACAGTTTTCCTTCTTAAAAAGTTTATAATCTAGTTAGGAGGTGAGAGGTGAGGGGGTGCAGGGTGTATTTGAAGGACCCCAAGTCAGCCAGCATGGAGTAGTAGAGATAGGGCTGAAACAAGGCTTGACTTTTAGAAATACTTTTCCAAAAAGATTTTTTAGTTTCTTAAAAGCAGTAGTACAAGCAGAACCACCACCACCATGATAATTTATTTTTTATTTTTTAAACTGAATTTATGGGGTGACATTGGTTAGTAAAATTAAATAGGTTTCAGGTGTACAATTTTTATTTGTGATGTATAATGAGTTGTTTGTGCATACACCTGGATGCCTCCTACCTTTTCCACAGCACTGGTGATCTCCCAACCACTTTTGGCCACCAGCTTTTTGAAAGCCTCCACATTGTCATCACTCAGGGATACCTAAAATGCAAATATTTAAAAAGCTGTGAGTTCAATGCACAGATATGGGAATATTTTCTGCTTAGAAAATGGGTACTTTTAGAGCCAAAGTGATTATGTTGAGCTTAAAACTACGCTACAGGTAACAACTTCTGTCTCAAACTCTTAATTCAGAATTCAGACAAGGTAACATGAGGCCTGTATGTTTAGCAAATTAATATGATTTTAGTTGGTGTGCTAAGCAAAGATAAGATTGCCCTTCAGTATAACTTATTAATAAACTTGGATTTTCCTTTACATTTTATGGCCCAAAACATGAAAACAACTAATACTTTGTTGCTGTGTTATAAAAATGCAAGCTGGTGGGCATGTTTTCAGCAAAAATCATGCTAAGACAATGTGCCATGCAGCTCAGATGCATTTGAAGGCAGAGCATCCTGCGTTTGTAATTTGGGAACTGTACCTACAGTTCAAACAAGGCAGTGAAGCAACTCGTTGGTAACCAGTTACTGACAGCTTGGTTCTGTTTCATGGTGAGATGACTGGTTGCTATGATTCACCTTTTCATCTAACCTGCGTAAGCACAACCTGAATCATTTAAACAGGGAGTTTCTGTGTTTGCAATGATGTGATCTTTACATGAAGCGCTCCAAATCATAAAACTGTCACCTGGTTGCGAATATCCCAGTGTACGCAAAGTGGAATCTCTTGTTTGTGGGAAATAACATATTTTCTGGGGGGAAAAAATAAAAATGTTAAATAACAGTTTTCTTCCCTGTATTTAGCACACAACAGTAACCATGACACACACTTTCTTGAGCTGAAATCAGCAGTTTAAAATGCTGCTTTTACTGGTGGAACAATCAGGAAGAACAATTTTCATCACTATCAGAAAACATCAGACCTTCTCTCCTTTCATTACGTGGGACTAGACACCCAGAGAGCAGCTCTTTGTTATGCAATTTGCAAGGTAAGATCTTACACCATAAAATCCTTATACCTAGGCCCCTTACCTGCCCAGACGAATTCTCTTGCGTGCAATAGCTCCACAATACCGTCTAAAATCATCCTTTATTAAAAAACAAACAAACAAAAAACAACAACAACAAAGTAAAATCAATAAATTTCTAATACTTTAGTGCTATAATCTTAAGTCTCTCTCTCCTAAGTCAGTTGAAGAAGCTAACTGGGACCCAGTGTCTGCGTGAATGCTGCTCAGGTGAGAGTTGGCAATAAGGCAACTGCAGGTAGTTCCCATGAACGTGGAGCAGCACAGAGATGCGGATGTAAAGTGGGAGAAGAGAATCAGAAATGGGAAAGGAAGACACTATGCTTCCAATAGCAGTGCATGGCCCAGTTGAGGTGAGATAGGCAGGGCCCCCAGTGAGACAGCATAGGGGTAATATCTGGACTCCATCTTGGAGGCCTGACTATGGCTCCTTGTTCAGGAACCTTCCCATAGTTGAAATTAACCTAATCACATCCTTAAAGGGAAGAATGCACAATAAGATCCCTTCTTAACATCGTGTTCTGCAAAATAGTTGCTTTGTCTATTAAGTGGCAACTAGAATATTTGCCCAAGCATTATTTTAGGCCCTTTGAGTGGTCCACTGACCATGGAAAATATCTGTGACTACCCTGGGATCAACCACTGGCAGGTGACGATCATGGGACAACTGACCTCCTCCTCATTCCCAAGCCCGACACCCACCCCAAGCCATCCACAATAACCCTCCGGGAGCTCGACCTCTCTTTTCTGGTCAACTCCCTTGTGCACAAGCTCTTTTCAATAAATTCTATCTGCTTGATCTTGTTCTGAGTGCTCATTTTTATGACATTACAACTCAAGGACCTGGCATTTCAACAAAGGATTAGAGTAATTTGGGGGGAAAAAGAAAAAGTCCATGGTGCTAATAACTTACCTTAGATATGGGTTTGATTTTGGGAAATGTAACCAGTTCTTCCTTATCATCGACAGCTTTATAAATGAGAAAAGCACTGTTGATATGACGGCCCAGACCCTCGGACCACTCCTGGCAGTCAAAGGCCTCCACGCGCACTCCCACTTCGACACTGCAGAGGGCGACACAGGGCGGTGGGCAGAGAACCAGAGCTCACTGGGCCTCCTCTGCCCACCACCTCCTCCTCCTCCAAGCACGGAAGAAAATGAGGGTCCTGGTTTTTCCTCTGTGGTCTGCAAATCTATGCAATGGTTAAAATCCATTTCTCCAGGTCGACAGATCAGATGTGCAAGCCCCTGAGGGCATCTCTGCTTTACTTTCCCACTTTCAGGTGGGAAAAAGGCCAGTTGTGAGTTTGTATATATTCATGAACATATTTTGGTAATGGGGAGGGGAGTTTAAATTATGCCAAAGTCAAGTTTTCTCCCCTCAAAATAACAAGTCTGCGATTTAAAAGCATCAAACACTGAAATTGGACAGAAAATACAGATATTCTTTTTTACATTTAAAAAGAAAAAATACTAAAAAAATACAAAATTAAATCTTTTCTTTGTATATTAAGAGTAATAAAAATAACTGGAAAGTGGCTTGGACTTCATGGTTGACCATACAGCCACTGGGACTCTTTTTAGAATGAAAGGAAGAGTTAATAATTACAACAGGTATAAACCAGGACCATTCTGGTCAACTGAGACATACAGTCACTCTTATTATGAGAGATAAAAACCAACCTACCACAATTTACTCAGTATAAGGAGGCCTCAAGCAGAATACAGTGTTAAAATATGTACAAATTTTGAAAACTGAATGAAAAAAATATAGAAAGAACTTGGTTATTTTAAAATAGTCCCTATATTCACCTCCAGATTGACATGGAAATTTTAAAACATATTTTAAAATTTGTTGATATGACGGCCCAGACCCTTGGACCACTCCTGGCAGTCAAAGGCCTCCACGCGCACTCCCACTTCATTCATTTATAGCAGCCGAAGAACACTACACACACTTTACCAGGTCTGAAACGTATTGTTGACAATGGCATTGAAGACAAGACGATCTCCCACTGTGGATGGTCCTCGGAACTTAAACATGTCCACAGATTTCAGAAGCGGATGCGCCCGACAGAGGCGGCTGGTGACACAAAGGGAAGGAGAGGAGAAATAGATCATTCTCCGAAATATTTTCAGGGACTGCTGATTCGCTTCACAGGCACAACAGACCAGTGTCCCGTGTACTTTCTAAGCAAACATCTTTTAACTCTAGTGAAACAAATGACTAGATCATGTGTGTTGAGAGTGGTTCTGTACACCGCCTGCAAATGCTTTGGGAAATACCATGTCCCCCAGCCGTGGGGTCTTTACCAAGATGCTGTGCTCCTCCCCTGGTGGTGACAGTCCTGCCCTTGTTTTGTTCCCCATGAAAGTCCCTCTGAAAAACAAGCCAATGTCTTTCGTCCTAATTTGAGGGTTATATTCATTCTGGCAGCTCATGACTGCCATCACAGGGAGCAGGGACTACCAGGGCGGAGCGGGGCACAGTGCGAGAACTGCCAGCTAGTGCCATTCACACCAGTTCCTCAGCTTCACAGCTAACAGATTCACCCACATAGCAAAAGACTTAACATTTTTCCCTCACAGAAAAATTACCTAGATTGCTGCACAAAGCCTAAAAGGTTACAAGTTACTCACTTTACAATTTGTGTGTGTGTGAACTTTTCAAATATCTATAAAGAATATTTAATCTCAGAAATACTTCCGTTATTTTTACATTTTAGATTCCCACTGTGGCCATTCAATTACTCTAAAGAATTGTGCCTACACTCACTGAACAGACTCTGCCACAGTTAATTATATTGTAAGCTTTTAACATAGAAGAGGTTCAAATGCTTTCTTATCAAGAATGACAATCTCATTTTAAAAACAAGTTCTCTTTTATTTGTGCATAATTTATAGGAAGGATAACTATAGGTTCCTAACTATAGTAATAACTACAGGCACATTAATAATAAAATTCTTGTAGTTTTGGGAAAAATACAACCTTAACAGTTTTCAATGGTTACAAAAATTGTCCGAAGGGCAAATCTTGTTGAAATGCATTTTCAGAATACACATGTTCTTTAAAGCTGCTAAGTTACCTACATGTTCTAAGAATAAAATAACCTTTTTTGAAACTGAGGCAAATTTAAAAGTATTCTTCCAATTCTTCCCTTTTTTCCTCTTATTTTTCAGTCAATCCTTTAGCCATAATGACTCCAACACAACTTTGAAGGTCAGACCTAACTGTAAATTGCTGTTAAAAAGTTTGCAAATTGACTACTTTTAATTGATATTTTAGTTGACTACTTTTAAGTATAAATGCTGTCTCTTATTTCTATTCTGCATCTACTTTGTTATAACTTTGTTACAAGGAATTTTAATGCCACAAGGTCAACATTCATAATTCAGAATAAACTATGAGAACTGTCACTTCAATTTTATTTTTGAACCAAGTTAATCTGAAGGTAAACAGGTAAATGACTAATTTTCTCATTTTGATAAAAGACAACATTGTCTTCTCCTTGTCTCCTTGACTTGCCCAATAACTGGATCTCAGTCCCTTTCTACTCTCACCCCACTGGTCCCAACATCACATGTCGAAGGTCAAAACCAAGAACCTTGCAGAAATAGTAGCCACCGTCTCCATCCAAGCCATAATCTGGCCACCAAATGTATTTCCATGATGGTTTGCATGGGGTGGGAGGACAAGTTCAATGCTCTGAACAGAGGTGCCCCTGGTGGAAACTGTTCCTTCCTCTTCATCAGAAATGAGATCTGAAAGGTGGATGTAAACATTAATGATGGTGGAGTTCACCACAGGACTGGAGACTACAGCCTTTCTTTCCCACCAGCACTCTCAAGTCATGAGATTTTTTTTAAAAAAATTAAATTATTCCCAAAGACTTAAAACTCCTGAGGAAATAAATAGATTTTATTCAACAGAATAACTTTCATTTGAATGGTATTTAGAATGAATTGGATAATAGATCAGAAAGCGCCTTTCAGAGAATATATTCCAACCTACTTTACAAGTCCACCAGAATTTTGATTAAAAATGATTAAATTTAAACTCGAGTTGTTTGGGGTGAAGGAGGAAAGGTCAGGGTAGGAAGGGGCAGAAAGAAATTTGGGGATTGATGGATTTGTCATTATCTTGATTGTGGTGATGGCTTCATGGGTGCATACGTGTTTCAAAACTTACCAGACTGTATTGGGATGATCACTTTGTAAGTTATATGAATGTTTAATGACTATGCTGTATACCTGAAACTGATATAGCACTGTATGTCAACTGCAATTGAAAAATAAATTTAAAAACAACAACAAAAAGCTTATCAAACTGTACACTTTAAATATCATGTCAATAAAGTTGTTAAAAAATACAGAAACTGGAGTTGCAGAGGGCCATAGACTCGGAGAATCTGGAATAGCTTGCTGTACCATATAAACTTCAGAACAGGAATGTGGCTTCCCATGGTTACTGTTTTGTAATGAATGCAGTCATGAATAGAAAAGACACAATACATTGTACTTCTCAGTGTCTTTCTGCTTCTTTTGAATCATATCTGCTTCATTTACTGACAAATTGGTTTTTACTCCCAACAATGGAGAAATCATTTGCTTTGGCTGCAAAGCAGTAAATGTGTTCAATTATGTTGCCGGCATCATCAAATGAATCACCAGCCAGGCTTAAATCTCACTTGCTATTGTTGAGATGGGAGAGGAAGACTTCCAAATCAGGAGGTACCATCCTGGCTGTCCAGGCAGAGGCAGAGCTGAGCTGCAGTGTGAGAGCACAGATGTGCCTTGCTGTTGTTGGGAACTGGGAATGGGGCCATTCTTGGTGCAGTCACATATGAGCAGAGAAATGTGGTTATAGAGACTTTTTAACTCCATTTCCTAATGGAATTTTAAAATTTATAATTAATTGATGGTCTTCCCCCCCCCCCCCCCCCCCCCCGCCTTTGTTCAACTGATCATTTTAGTCATCTGCCTAAAAACATGTTTGTACTTCCCATCCTCCTAGTATAAAATCCTTCCTATTGCCCCTAGCCCTTCCTTTTTGGTCTGTCTACCTCTCCATCCCAGCTGCTCTGGTTCCCACTAGCACCTCTCCCTTCTGCATCATATTCTCTCTCTCAATTTTCCCCTCTCTTTGTTCCAGCCACAATAACTCTTTTCAGTTCAACTAAATGTTGCCTTCAACATCAGGGCATTTGCACATGTTGGTTCCTCTTTCAGTAGCAATTGCCCTAGCCACCACCACTACCACCTTCTTCCACTTACCTCCTATTCTCACTTGGCTCATCTCAGTCATCATTCTTTCAGGAAAGCCTTTCCTGACCTCCGCAGCCAATCTCCACTCTTAAAGCTCTTACACGTCCCTTTATTCCACAGTTATAGTTTTATGTTTATTTGTGTGATTTTTGATTATCTGATTCCCTGGGTCCTAAGATCCTTTGAGCAAAGACTGTTTTTTTTAAATTTTATGATAATTTCCTGAATAGGTGCTCAGTAAATATTTATTGAATGAAGAGATGAATAAACTTAACTTGGCTGATTTTTCCACATTCATAGTCCTTACTATCAACAGATTATTTTTAGGTAACAAAATGATAGGACTGAAGCATACTTCAATTGCTGTTTATTAGAGTTCCACTGCTCTCCATTTTCACCTAAACAGTATTGTAGACTCTTCTATTTTTTCTCAATTTTGTGAGAGTGAAATAGTATCTCTTGTTGGTTATAACTTGCATTTTCCTGATTAATAATGAAGTCTGACATATTTTTGTGTGTACATTAAACTTACACTAAACTTTCTTGTTACTTCTTAATGAAATGTCAGTGGCATTTGCTTCACATGTTACTTTTCTCCCATTCTTTTTTCCCTCTCCTTCTGAAATTCTGATTAGATGCTTGTTAGATTTTTTACTCCATTCTCTGTGTCTCCTCTCTTATATAGTTTCCATCCTTTGCTTATCCATCTGCATTATTGGTAACTCCTACAGATCTATATTTCAGTTCACTGTCTTATATGTTTAATTCATTCATTGAGTTTTAAATTTAAATTATTATAATATCCTTTGTGTGTAGAAATTCTCTTTGTTTCTTTGTCAAATCTTCTAGGTCATTTTCTTGTTCCTGCAAAATGCTTTTGATACTATTTTATCTCTTAAAATAAATTACCATTCTTACTTCATATTATTTATATAATAAATTCAATATATGTAGTCTTCGTGGGCCTCATTCTATTGTCTGGTGCTTCTTCTGGGTTTTGGTGACTTACTTATTTTTATTTTTTATGATTTTTTTTTTACTAGGAGCTCATATTCCTAGGATCTTCATCTGTGGGAATTCTTGAGGGCTGGGTTTAAAGTCATCTCTGCACAGAGGATGTACATTTGTGGCTGCAGATCATCAGGGGGTACTGCAGCACAACACCATTTCACACGTGGTCTGTTTCAGGCCAAACAAGTAATGTGAATTCTGACACAAAATCTGCATGAGAATGTGCTTCTGATTGAATTCTCAAAGGGAATTTTTCCATTCCACTTCGTGAAGTCCGAGGCAGGAAAGCATCCCCAGCAGAGCTCTCCCAGGGTTGGGATTTTTCCAGTTGACTCATTGAGGGTATCATCTTTTGGGGGTTGCAGCTTCAGTTAAGGTTCCCGGATCCAACCCTCCAGCTAACATGGCCCCTGGCTTGGTTTCCTGAGCCCTTTCAGGCTCATAGAACACAAGATCTAGGACTTCTAGCCCTTCCAAGGTCCTCCCACAGCAAATGCCAGCTCTGTGTCTCCTTACACTGCTGCCTTTTTTCTAATTATTTCTAGACTTCAAGATCTTCTCCCATTTTTCTTCCTGCTGAGATGTGTTTGCAAAGATGTTTATAGATATTTTATCTAGAAATTCTAGTTTTTTCCCCAGATATTAAGTCTGCTGTAATCAGAATTAGCTTGTCTCCTAAAGGGATCTTTAAAAGGTATATGAAATCTTAACTCCCACCTTCTGTCTCTTTTTTTTAATTCTCACCAAAGAATATGTTTTTTATTGATTTTTAGAGATGGAGGAAGGGAGAGAGAGAGAAACATTGATGTGTGAGAGAAACATCGATTGATTGCCTCCCCTACATGCCCCAACCAGGAATTGAATCTACAACCCAGGTATGTCCCCTGATCAGAAATAGAACCTGCAACCTGCCCGGCCAGTGTGGTTTAGTGGTTGAGCATCCACCCATGAACCAAGAGGTCACCTGTTTGATTAGCACTCAGGGCACATGTCTGGGTGTGGGCACAATCCCCAGTAGGGGGCATGCAGGAGGCAGTTGATCACTATTTTTCCTACAACCTTTTGCTGTATAGGAAACACTCCAACCAACTAAGCCACCCATCCAGGGCTCTCTCTTTTTTATAACTGATTTTGTTAAATAATGTTCTATATAAACATCCAAAACTAGTATTAATCTACGTATTTTAGGTTAAATTTTCTTATTCAAATGGTTTATTTTTCTTCCAAAGAAATTAATATAAACTATCTCTAAAATATATTGCTAAATGAAAAGGAGAAAGGTGCACAATTGTTTGAATATTGTGTTACCAGGATGTGTTATACAGTATGAGTGTGTGTGAGAGTGTATGAGTGTGTGTGTGTGTGTGTATGTGTGTGTGTGTGTGTGTGTGTGTGTGTGTGTGTGTGTAACAGTAGTTGTCTCTGAGGAAGGGAATTGAGTAACTGTGAGACACAGAAAGTAGGAAGACTTACCTTCTAAGTAAGTGCTCTCCTATACCCTTTGAATTTTTCACCCTGTGCATGTGTACCATTTTTAAACAATTCAAAAATAATTATAAAATAGAAAATTAATAAAGAGGGAAGGTGGGGGTGGGGTGGGCAGGGGAGATTAATCGGGGAACTTATACACATATAAGCATAGCCCATGACACAGACAATGGTGTGCTGAAGGCTTGGGAGGGGTGGGTGCAGAGTGGAGGGGGTCAATGGGAAAAAACAAAAACAAAGGGACATCTGTAATACTTTGGACTATAAAGATATATTTATCTTTTATAAAGATAAATTTTTAAAAATTAAGAGAGGGCCGTATAATGTGAGAAACATTGTAAATACTCAAATATAAGGCAATTCCTTATTTTCTGAGAAATAACTTTAAAAAAATCTACTTGATTGCTATGAAGACATACATGGCACACACTGGGACACATAGAGGTGAGTACTAGGGCAGACCATATGCGCATAAGCATCAGCTGTGACGTGTATACAGAAATATACTGAATATAAATGACTTCAGGGCAAAAGTACGCCTACTTGCAGGTAACTGCCAATCAATGCAGAGACAGGGCTCTCCCAGGTTCAGAGGCTCACGGTTCTGGCTGTGTACACAAGTTAAGCACAGTAAACAGACCTCATCCTCTCTGCAGGCTTCCAAATACGCATACTCACCCAGTGCTCCACCAACACTTGTACTTTGGATGTTCATTAGGTATTGTGTCATCATTCTACTCGGACAATTTCACATTCATTCCACATATTCAGGTCATTCTAGCCTTAGTTTTCTTTCCCATGCCAGAAAGGATCAACACAGGGCAATGCTCATAGAGATTTGATTCCTTACTAAAATATTATCATGAAAATGCTCCAAATCTTTAACCAGATCTAAGTCTTTCCCAGTATGCCCAGCTTCCACATGCCAGTAGTACATGAGCTCATTCCAAAACAGTCTGGTTTTCACATAATCTAATCTTATCTTTTCCCTGTTTCTTCTGTAAGAGAGTGATTTGGATTCAACTTTCTCACTTTTCTAATGATATGCCTTTCAATCATACATCTTGAAAAAGATTCCAATCTCTATGTCTGATATGATAACCAAGACAGAACCCTGGGCTTTCTGAAAATATAGTTCAAAAACAAAGATGATCTAGCTATCTTCCTTCTGAACATTATGTCCTGTCCAAAACAAACTCCATCAGATCCACAGGGCAGCAGGTCGACAAACCACATGCTCTATGGCAACATCAAGCTCCAGGGTCTGGCTCTTATATATCTAAGAAACATTGCCTTTAAGTTCTGTGATATCTTTGAAAGCTAGTAAAATTTCTAAAGAGAAAATCAAATCAATGAAGTTAGGTAAAGTTGTTTTGTGCAAAGGAATGTAGAATAATCTATTTTATGGCTGGTTAGATGATTTAAAAAAGACATAAAAAAATCTATAATTCTAAATTAAACCAGACATATAGATCTGACCTGCCCAACTTCCTCACAAACTGAATAAAACTAAAGTCAATTGCAATCATTCTACTTTTACATTTGAATGACTGTAGCAAGTACCTGTCATTAATTCAGAATGTCTCCAGTACTCAAAGTACTGTTGGTGTTGTGGAGACAGGTAGAGAAAATTGCTGCTGATTTTGTTTATTCATACAACTTGCACAACTCCAGAACAAGCCAATGGGGCCAAGTTCACCTGGCTCACGGGGCAAGCTAAGGAGGCTTAGATCACCAGGCCCACCAACGATTCCCAATAGACTGACACTAGTGAAAAAGGCCAGAATATCAGAGATCATTGTAACTTTCTACCAAGACAAAAAACAAAAAAAAACAGTTTTCAGGTGTTTTAAGTTTAAGTTTGATACTGATTATCTCTTTCTCTTATAATCAACCTCTCCCTCAATAATGATTTCTATGATCAGCCTTGATCAACCTGCAACCATGACCAATTATTTCCTATCCTGAAAAAACAATGCCCTTTGACCTTTAGGGCATAGCTCCAGGCTGTTTATCTCACCTTTTACAGCCAAGTTCTTTGAAAGGACAGTCTTTAACTGTTATTCTAATCCTACCCTTGAATGGGAACCTCTCAAATAACAATAGTAATAATAATAATAGCATTTTCCACATGCCTGACACTGTTATCAAGAATCTGTGTTAACTCATTTAATCCTCACACAAACCTATTGAATAAGTACTATTATTATTCCCATTTTACAGTTCTTATTATTTTTAACCTTGCATAAGCCCACTGGGAAAAAGAGCAGTCAGTGGTCTGAGTATGGGCAACAAGGACAGAGATAAGAAAATAAAAAGAGCAACTTCCTGTTGGCCAGGACCACTGGCTGCAAGAGGAAAAAGGTGACATCCCCTTTACTCCTCTAATACAGGGTCATCAGCAGGTCTCCCTTCCCATACCCTATTTATTGCACTCATATTTCCACTAACCATGCTCTTGCCAAAGTCACCAATGACTTCCCTAATCCCAATTCAGTGGAAAAATTGTATTCCTCACTTCCTGGAACACAGATGATCATTCATTTCTTCATGTCACTCTACTTCTTTGAAGTATGACACCACTCTCTCCAGTTCTCCTTAACTCCTCTGACCAGTCCCTCCAGATCGTCTTTGTAGATTCATCCTCCTCCTCTGATCGTCTCTCACATAGCCATGTTCAGCAGGTTCCATTCGTGGCCCACAGCCCTGTGTCCCCATGAGCCTTCACAGGGTGACTGCTGGTACTATCTTCATTTGAATTAACATCTGTAAACAGTTGTCTCTCAAACTTGATCTCTCCAGTCCTGGTCTCATGCTTTTGGTTATGCCACCGGCTTATCAGATTATACCAAATTCACCATCCAAACTGCCCCCTCCACCCCTCATCTTCATCATCATATTGATGATAGCACCATCAATTAACCAATCACTCAAATCAGAAACCTGAGCATTATCCTAGCCTTCTTCTTCACTTGTCTCCCCACATCAATGACCATATTCTGCTGATTTTACCTCTTGTATTTTTTTTTTACTCTTTCCCTCCTTTCTCTCCCTATTATCATTGTCTGGTGCAGCCATACCTCCCCTCATGCCTGGTCTCTATGCCTCTAGTCTCACCTCTTCAGAGTGACCATATCAAGTGTAATTATGCTACAACTCTGCTCAAAACCCTTCACTGGCTCTCATCAAGGACAGAGAAAGGCCAAGCTTCTTAGCATGGCCTCTGTGACGCAGTTCTACCTTTTCATGGTGGCCTCCTTCCACCTTGATTTTTCTCTCTAGTAATGCTCTTGTTCCCCCGGTTCAGCTATTTGATTACTTTAGCAAAATGTATTTAAAACATATTTTAGCACTGAGGTCATCTTTACAAAAGGAGACCCACTCTTCTCAGCAAAGTAAGTAAATGATGAAGTCAACTTGGTAATGGGCATTGTCTTTAAAAGATCATCAATGAATAGGAGCCTTTGAAAAACTTTTTTCCAACCCAGAGGTTGTCTGTGAGGTGGTCCCAGGACCATGATGATGTCACATGGGAAAGAATAAAGCCCACAGGTGTCAATCACCCCTGCCTCTGCCTTTTCTCCCTCCTCTGGCCTTCATGTGCTTTCACTCTTCCTCCTCCTCCTTTTTCCACATTCTTATCCTGACCCTTTCTTGTCTTCTCCTTTCCTTGTCTTTTTCCTGTGTCTGCTTTCAGAGCCAAGGGAATGGGGGTGGACCCTCTGTGAGCCTCTTCACCCTCCTGCAGTGGTGATGAGAGGGGCTCGGGCTGGCTCACTCATTTCACTCTTTGCTCTCCACCACAGGTCATCTCCCTTGGGGCTGCAGGAGATGGGAGTCAGATAGGAAGGGCAGATGAGGGGCAAGGAGGACTTCCTTCCCCTGCCATTCTGGCCCCACCAGGCCTCAAAGAGCCCAGGAAATCACCGCCAAAGAACTGAGGAACTTTGGCTCATCATTGTGTTACTGTGGGAGAGCCGAGAAACAGTAGAATCTTATCACTTCCATTCATATCCCCTGTAATCTTTAGCAAGGTTCTTCACTACTCAGTTTCAGGTTTTTCCTCTGTTGAGATTATATGCAGCTCATATGAAATAACAGATGAGAAACTGCTTAGTAAACTGTGAAACACCAGATCAGCTTACGGCATTGTCCTTCCTTCCTTCATCTATCATTACTGAGCGCACAGTTACTAATAAGAACAGCGTGGTCCCCACTGCCCTTTCACATCTCCTCCCCTGGAGATCCTCTGACTTAAAGCGGGCTTAGGTGTCAGCAGTTCTATTCTGAATGGCCAGGCCCTTCCTTCTCCAGCCACTGGGTTTGTCGGAAAAGATCTCTAGGATCACCAGGACTGAACTGTAATAATAAGGTGAGAGGAAGTGTGCCCTAAGGAAGGGCCCTTCACTGTCACAGTCATATAGTTCAAGCTCCTCTGGGTAGATGTACTGACCCTCAAACTTGCTACTCTTCTCCATCAGGGTTTTAAAGGTCTCTTCATGCTGTAATCGCACTTTCCTTCTCTCAGAAGCCAGATTATGTTCCACATGGTCTTGTTCAGTTAGAGGTGTGACTGGTTTTAAATGAATCTAGAGAAAGAAAAACATTTACCTCTCATCGCCTTGTTAAATTATAAAAGCACAACATGACATTTGCAAAAACAAATGATATGCCACATTGTTTTCTAACTCAAAGTAAATAATTTATGGGTGTTTTCACACACATTTCATTTTGACTGAAAATTTTCCTTAAAATATTTTTAAATTAAAAAAATCAATATAGACAATTATTTCTTTGTACAAGATATGCGCTCTAAGCAGTTTTTCAAATATTATTTCCCCTGATTTTTTTAAAAAAGTTAACAGAACTACAAAATAAGAAATTCTTCAAATTAATGAATGAGGAGATGGACTTTGATGCCACTTAATTCTTATCAGGAAATATTTTTTGCCTAGCTGGTGTTGCTCAGTGATGGAACATGGGCCCATGAACCAGGAGGTCATGGTTCGATTCCCGGTCAGGGCACATGCCCAGGATGCGGGCTTGATCCCCAGTAGGAGACGTGCAGGAGTCAACCAATTAATATATCTCTTTCATGGATGTTTCTATCTCTCTATCCCTCTCCCTTCCTATCTATAAAAAAAAGAAAGAAAAAAATGTTTCTACCTTTTGCAAAAATTTAGACATCAAAGGAAGGAATAAAGATGTTTTAAAGAAAGCTATTATTTACCAAGAAATATTCTCAATTTGGAAATTTCATCACATGATGAAAACATCTATATATATAAAAGCCCAGTGACCAGAATGGCAGAATGACCAGAATGATTGGTGGCTATGACATGCACTGTGGCAGCCAACCAGCCTGATCCAGGCCCTGATCGCCACCCCCACCCTGGCTGGCCTGGCCCCTGATCGGCCCCCAAAACCCCAACTGCGGGCAGGGCCAGCTGCAAACCACCCATGGCCCCACCCCCCTGCTCGCCCGGCCTGATGGGCCCCCATTGGGGTGCGCTGGCTGGACCCCACTCATGCACAAATTTGTGCACTGGGCCTCTAGTTATCTAATGAGCAAACTTAAAGAATCAATACGTCAGAATCAAGCTTTAAACAACCTCCAGGAGCCTGGAAATAAGATGCACTAGAACCAATGGCTCAAGCTTCTTCAGAAATGCCTGCCTGCTGACCTGTGCATGTCGAAGAGACACCTTGCAGCTGGACTGGGGTCGCGCCATGCTTATTTCCAAGACACTGAAGGCCGGTGCTCACCCTTGGCCAAGGTAAGGATCAAGTATCTAGTGATTTATAATATGCTGCTTCAAGTCTAAACTCCCTTGGACTGCCTTGTCTAATTCGTTTAGGAATGGATAGATGATAGCTTGCACTGGTTTAACTGCTTACACAGCCTTGTTTTAGTTGGATGACCAGAGGGGTATAAAAAGGTCACCTGGTAAACCAATGTAGATAAAATACATTTTGTGTGACTGAAGAGGACCCTGAGAGCAATGCCTGGCAGTCTTGAACCTCTCGGCTGATTGCCTGTGGTTTCTTTCTCTGTTAGTGGGCATTTGGTCTTGTCCAAAACATCTACACTTAAAAATACCCCTGGGTTCAAAGCGTCTATAATGTTTGTTTAGACGTTTGGTTTACAGGGTTAATAAATTTAAAATGCTCTCATGTTTTATTGTTCCAGTAATTGTGTAGTGGCTGTATTGCCAATAATAACCCTTTTTGCCTTGGTAGCCTAGGTGGTTATGGCACATGTGAAGGACCAAATATCAAGGACCTTTTGGCATGGACCAAATGTCCTGCAAGTTCTTTCTCCTGCTGTTCTGCCTCCTTTAGGTTGAATAGGCTTTGCATGAGCATGCTCTATGGCAGTGGTTCTCAACCTTCCTAACGCCGAGACCCTTTAATACAGCTCCTCATGTTGTGGTGACCCCCAATTTCATTGTTACAAATCGAACATAATTAAAGCATAGTGATTAATCACAAAAACAATATGTAATTATATATGTGTTTTCCGATGGTCTTAGGCGACCCCTGTGAAAGGGTCGTTCGACCCCCAAAGGGGTCATGACCCACAGGTTGAGAACCACTGCTCTATGGGGTCTTGTGAGTCCTTCAATGATCTGGCCTGTGCAATTGTTGGACTAAGCCTGGTTAATCATTGCCCATCCTGTCTTGGAAAAAACTCACTTTGGACAGAGATCCAGGCAGGCCTATCTTTTCAAATCAAACACCAATTTTTCATGGCTCTCTTTATGATGTTCTAAACAAGAATGTCACCAAGTGGAAAATAAATTAGTCTGGGAAACATGCTTTACAGTAAAGGTTATCTGAGCCAACCAATTATGGCAGAACCATAAGGTCCCTGACTTCCCAGAAATGCTTTCAGAAAAACAGTTGTTCAGTCTCAGGAGAAACTGAAGTGTGACTATTCCATTCTGATTCCATGAGTCCCTGAAGTTGGGGTGAGAAGTCTAAAGCTGGAGGGAAAATGATGGCCCTCGTTTTCTCCTTCATGTGTCAGAAGAAGTTGTTGGGGGGACTCCTTTCTGTCACTTGCTCTCAGATATGGGAACTCTGCACCCACCCCCATATTCTCTCGCTCCCAAGAGTCTGGAGATTTCTGGGGACTTTAGGAAAAACAGAGTGTTTGGCAACACCTATCTCGACATCTTAAATTTCAGTGAACATAGGATCCTTGAGATACTTCGTTAACATATAGATTCCAAGTTTCTATATGGGTGATTCTAATTCAGCAGGTCTGGGATACAATCCAGAAAGCTATATTTAAATAATATAATAGATTAAGTGAACTTCAGTTTGAAAAGCAATGCCTTTGGGCAATGTGAATTTGCCTGTGGCCTGTTTAATCTTGGGAAGAGAGTAAGGGAAGTGTCCCAGTGTACACAACTCTGCAGGGATATCTGCTACCTGGGACCATGGTGGGCTAACTCAGCCCGGCCCATCTCTGTGCCTCCTCGCTCAAGTGAGGCGTAGCTGAGGAGTGTGGCTCTGTCGTTCTTTCCAATGAGTACAGTGGGAACATTGCTTGCCCCACCTCTAAACTCTGAGGCAGTCTGAGAACACTTTGGCAGAGTGAGAAGTACTGCTTGTCACTTTCAGAGTGGAGCTAGGAGAACCTCTGTGCCCACCTCTGGAGCAATCCCTGCAGTGAAAGGCTTCAATTCTAAATTGAATGATCACACATAAAAATACTTAGACTAGATTGGGACCGTCCCTGTGGTATGATGACTTTAAAAAGAAAAGCCAAGAAATGATAACGAATAAATCTCCAAAAGACCATGGAAAAGCTGTCCTGGGCAAATGGCCAGGCTAGTCCACTGGGCACATACATTAGGCCAAAGTACTTCCTTTAAGGGTGTTTTTACCCCAGATGCCCTGAAGCTTATTTTTAAACTTCAATAACTCAGCAACTTTGACATCCTTCCTTCAGGTATAAAAAAGTGATTGGACCAAAACATGCAACTGCTCACTAAATTGCTCTTGCTAAAATAAAAAAGATATTTTAACTCAACTCGGAGTTATATAACCCCAAAAGAAAAGAACTAAACCAGTAAGCAATATTTTTGAGAAACTGATATGACCTTTAGATAATTTAAAACACAGTATTTTTCCTCTTTCACAAACTGGCTACATCTTCTTTTGTCTAAAGTACTTACTACTATAACATTACCACAGACTGATCTTTTATGATAAATATTGATGAGTAACAAATCTTGGGAAAGCATTTCTCATGCTAAGATGAATGTCCTTTTCCTAATAATCATTCTGATGCAATTTTTAATATGTCCCTCACACAGAAAATTTACCTTTTCTTTTCCAACTGGTTTGGCTACAAATGTAGAGAAGGCCACACTAACAAGTTTCTCAATGCCAGTGAACGTGTCCTGCACTATGACCTTGATGCTGATCTAAAATGAAAAGAAAATAAATAAATAAACTTTCAGCCATCCAGACAACAGATGGGATTGCACCATTCAAAATTCAGTTATGCACTTCACCATTCTTTTTCTTTTGGTTTTTCAATGAAACTAGCATTTTAATTTATTCTTAAGCAATACTCTTGTTTTAATAATGTTCTATAAAGTTGGAAAAATAACTTTTTTCTGATTATAGAAAGATACATATTTACCATGGAAAAGTTGGTAAATATAAAAATAAGTAAATGATAACATTGGAATCTAACTATCCAGAGGAAATATCAGTAACAGTAATCCCACCACTCAGGTTAATTTTCTTCCAGTTACATATATATGTGAAATATAAAATGTATATTATTTATTCATATATAAAATATAAAATGTGTGTCTGTGTATACATGCACACAAAGTTACCATATTGCATTTACAGTTTTATATCATTTTTTTAAAGTTGGTATTATGTGATAAGCATTTTCTAATTTCGTTATTAGCACCAATGACAGCAGTAAGGAAAGGGGCCTCTTACCTCCATGCTTGTGCTGAATGCTCTAGTAACTTTTGCTTTGATGGTTATAACTTGTCCAACTCTATTTAAAAAAAAAAAAGAAGATCTCAGTAATCCTAGCATAGCTCATTCCAGGCTTAAAGGTTTAGTTAAATGCATGTGCCATAGAGCAGTTTTACCTTATCACACTCATAATGTTTGTGCGTGAAAAATTCAGGTTAATGAAAACATAAAAAAGAATGCACTAAAAACAGATGCCAATCACTGTGAACCACACATATGTTAGCTGACTACCTCTATTTAAACAGCAAAGGGCCTTGGCAAAGATTGTGTGCAAAACGACTTCCAGATCTGCAACAGATACTTTGACAATGTCGCAGCTGTTTTCTTGAGAGGAATCAAAACAGACACACAAACAAAACCAATACAATTGGTATTTATTTTAAAATATTAGCTAACAAATAATAAATAAACTACCAACAAGCTGGCCCTAAAACTGATCAGCTTTACTAGGTTTACAGGGGCCCTCAATGCTGCCAGGTGATCCATTTACTCCACATTATTACTGATGAAAATCTATGTGTCATTTAAGGCCTTCATTAAATGCTACCTCTGTCATGAAACACCACCGATTTCCCAGTCAAAATGCACTTTTTAACTACCCCAAAGAACTGAGTTTATATCTCACCCTAGGCATGTACCTATTATACTTTCTATTCTGATGATTATGTGTTTATCTGACTCTCACCAGACTGAGCAACTGCCATACTCCAGAATTGTGACATAATCATCCACATATCCTATTGAGCCAAAATAGTACTTTTCATATAAGCAATACATATTTGTGAATTTAAAAAATATCTAATATGGCTTACAACTAAATTATATGGTTCCCTATATATTGCTTTCAATTTTCTTTTTTTATGGTGCAGGTTGCATATAAAAAATATGAGTTCACTTTTTATCAACTTAGTGACCACAAATCCTTTTTGATAATACAAATGCAGGAGCTCCAGTGGCGCAATCGGTTAGCACGAGGTACTTATAAGATAATACAAATACAAATTGGCAAACCATATTTCAATGATGAGGTAATTAGTTAAGCATAAGTTACAGAATTTAGGATTGGAAAGTACATAATAGATATTATATTACATTGTATCATTGGCATTCCTAAATTTAATAATCGTGCTTTAATCTATTCTCAAATAAGTTCGAATTCACAGTAATCTGTAATTTTGCTAAGATAAAAATACATATCAATTTTTCTACTTAGTATGCGAGCTTAGTCAATGCATGTGGTTCTATTTAACTTAATTTTGTTTGTATATAAATAAATAAATGCCAAATAGATAAATGTAAGCAGTTAGGTTGGAGAGAAGAATTGGGCAACTCATTGGACAAGACTACTTAGGGTTTAAAAACTGGTGACAGCTACCCCATGGTCCTAGAGAACTATCCCAGACCAGAAACAAACAACCTGTTCTCTTCCTTTTTCTTGTAAATTCTGCTTATGTCTGTAAGGATCAAGGTATTTCACATAAAACAAAACAGAACAACAACAACAACAAAAAATACCAAGACTAGCCCTGGCTGGTGTGACTTAATGGTTAGAGTGCCAGCCTATGCACTGGAGTGTTGTGGGTTTGATTCCCTGTCAAGGGCACATAGCTGGGTTACAGGTTCCATCCTGGCCCAGGTCAGGGTGTGCACAGGAGACAACCAATCAATGTGTCTCTCTTGAGTGATGTTTCTCTCCTTTTTTCTCTCTCTGTCTCTCTCCCTCCCTCCCACTCTCTCTAAAAATCATCCTTAGGTGAGGACTAACAAAACACACCTAACCTCCCAAACCAACCAAGATTATACAAACATAAAATTAAAGAAATTAAGTAAAACCATATAATCCTAGTTGATTAGAGGTATTAGCATAAACTATTTAAAAAACACATAATTCCTAGTTCTGTTCGCTGAAAAGGCCTAAAATAATGACCAACTCTATATTGATGAGCACTTTCCTGCCCAGATTGTGATCTCTACTTATCATTTCTTTTGAAGAAATTTCTGATTCTGAGTTTGTGTGAGAAAATGTATAAAATGAGCCCATCTTGTCATACCAGAAAGCAAAGGAGTTATTAAAGAATTCTAACTTTGGGGTTATTTCCAAAACTCAGAGCCAAACTGAGGAAGTTTCTACTGTCCAAAGACAGGGCAGAGTGAGCATCCATAAGAATAATCATATCAGAATTGAAATGCATCAATTATGTTAAAAATCTTGGGCTCCTAATGATACTATCCTATATAATAAAAGGGTAATATGCAAATTGACTGAGCAGTGGAATGACCAGTCTCTATGACACACACTGACCACCAGGGGACAGATGCTCAACGCAGGAGCTGCCCCCGATGGTCAGTGTGCTCCCACAGGGGGAGTGCTGCTCAGCCACAAGCCGGGCTGACGGCTGGTGAACAAGCGCAGCAGAGGTGGTGGGAGCCTCCACGGCCATCCTCCCTGACTGCTAAAGGGTGCACAAATGTCGTGCACCGGGCCTCTAGTATAAAGAGGAAGAATTAAGTCTGTCTTTCCTGGACAAACTTTACCTCAAGGTAACAAAGTAATTAAAGAGATAAAGGGTCTCTCTATACCAGGGGTCCTCAAACTATGGCCCGCGGGCCACATGCAAATACAAATATTGTATTTGTTCCCGTTTTGTTTTTTTACTTCAAAATAAGATATGTGCAGTGTGTATAGGAATTTGTTCATAGTTTTTTTTTAAACTATAGTCCGGCCCTCCAATGGTCTGAGGGACAGTGAACTGGCCCCCTGTTTAAAAAGTTTGAGGACCCCTGCTCTATACAAATAGTTCAGAAAAGAAATGAAAAAAAAAAGAGAGATAGATTTAGCATACTACTATTTTACCAATATCTAATGAAATAATGGTTCTAAATAATGATCATTAGACAGTGTATGCTCTTGACAAGAACTGGTTTTACCAAAATATCAAATTTCCATCAGATCATTTTTTTGGTGTAACTATAGTTTATAAGAAATACAAATGTATGTGAACATGCTAAACAGGGATACAATGAGAAAATGCAAAATGTGGTAAATTCTTTAAGACAAATGACCAGGTTTGTTTACAAAATAAATTGCAAGTGAAATGAACAAAGGGAAAATTATATGTTAAAAGACATATCAACCATATTAGATTCTGATTCAATAAACTAATTGTTTAAATTTTAAAAAATTTGAGACCATTGGAAATTTCTGTTAATGGTATAGTAACTGTTATTATATGTTCTCTAAAAGAGCCTTATCTTTTAGAAATATATACTGATAATGCAAACACAAAATGGCAAAAACATTTCAATGATGAGGTTACTAGTTAAACCTAAGCTACAGATTGTAGGATGGAAAGTATATAATAGAAATTTTATTACAATGTACTGTTGGCAATGCCAAATTTAATAATAGTGCTTTAATTTATTTCCAACTAAGTGTGAATTTGCAGTAATTTTTAACTTTCACAGATGATCCCTTGGAATTATGTCAAAATAGTCCAGGTGTGTGGGAATCTAGAGGGGAATTGATAAAACCAGAGTGTCCATGAGTTGATCATTGTCATAGTTAGGTGAAGGGTCTTTGGAGATACATGGTACTATTTTCTCATCTTTTGTGTATGTTTGGATATTTGTATATCTTGAAATTTTCTACAACAAGATATGGTAGGCACATACACACTCCCACACATAAAATGTTTTTCATAATTTAACATCTTTACTCAGATAAATTAATGTTTACCCAACAACCTAATGATGAAATTCACCATCACAGAGATACTTATTATCATTAACTAGAGGCCCGGTGCACAACATTCGTGCGCCCTTTAGCAGTCAGGGAGGATGTCCATGGAGGCTCCCACCAACTCTGCTGCGCTTGTTCACCAGCCGTCAGCCCAGCTTGTGGCTGAGCAGCACTCTCGCTGTGGGAGCGCACTGACCATTGGGGGCAGCTCCTGCGTTGAGCATCTGTCCCCTGGTGGTCAGTGTGTGTCATAGAGACTGGTCATTCCACTGCTCAGTCAATTTGCATATTACCCTTTTATTATATAGGATTATTCTTCTAGTAGAAGAAGGAGCCATTCATTAGGAATCAGCTTCAAGAAATCCTTCTATGCCTTAGACCAGAATGCATATAATACATAATGCCAGCAGCTATTTCTCAACAAAATCAAGACTGAATTTACAGTTAAGCAAGTTTATTAGAAGTAGGTCCTGCAATTTTTTTACTGACTTACATTGGGTCAAATGTTATTTATTTTGTTAGGAAATTGGTTACTGACTTAACACGATTAAGCTTACATGTTTTAAATGAACCAGTATACTCAGGAGAAGGGCATGGAAGAGCAGTTCCCCTTACCTAGCTGTCTCCTCAAATTGAATGTCATCCACTGAGGCTGTAACACAGGAAACCCCAGCATGTTTCTCAGCTTCAAAAAATAGGCAAAAAGGGGCTGGATTAGTAATGTTTGAATATTTCAGCCTAGGGAGAAAGGAGTAAAATTTAAGTGGATTTAATTTAGTGACTCATCCTCTCATTCAACATAAGACTACTGGGCCCACACTCTGGATGGTCTGAATCATAACAGCTCCTTTGCTCTGTAAGTTATATTTCCACTGCATGAAAATTACTGTGGTTTCTTCTGCATTTTAATTCACATCATCTTTGATTTGAAATTCAATACCAGTACCCAGCACATCAAGTTATTCAAATAGCAATTTTAGTAAGTTGGTGCCAACTTTAAAAGTGTTGCTAGGTACTACCTTCCTTTTGTTTTCAAAACAAATCATCAAAGTTGTAGCCATTATCCCTCACATCCAGCAGCTAAATGTAGTTAAGCCACTTAGCCAGCGTGAGCACTGAGCATTATGGGAGACCTTGAGAGCACACCCCCAGTCAGAGAGGAACTTCTCTGGACACCAGAGAAACACAGTAGGTATTTAGTAAATGTTTGTTATTTTTTATTAGTAGATTCACACCAAACTCACTGTGCATTAACTCTGTTGCAGGAGGAGGACTGACGAGGGTGGGGCGAGGGTAGGGAGGAACTCCAGTTATTTTGATGTTCTATGTCTGCATTTAATTTGTTGAGATAGTTTAATTGTTGGCTTCAGTTTATATAAAAATATCAGATTTTATTCTCTTTGGGAAAATTTGGAGATGTGCTTCTGCCAGAATTTGACTTTGAGGAACAGTCACTTAAAACCCAAACAGAATGCATTGGCTCTTTAAGAACCTTTAACCCCATTTTGGAGACGTTACTCCTGGTGCCACATTATGAAAACAGCGAGTTATACTGAATTTGTATGCTTTGTGGGTTACTTTAACTGCAATGTATAAGAGGTAAGAAAACCTTCTAAGTATTTAAAGCACTCCTCCCTATGATTCAATTCTGTAGAAAACTAGACATTCTGGTTTTACTAGTTGGAAATAACTGTTCTTCCAAACATGAACATAACATAAACTGAGTTATCAGAAAACTAACCACAGAACTCTGATTGATGGAACAGGGAGGATGAGCTTCCCGCCTATAAAATTTAGTGAGAGGAAGAGTACATAAAAATACCAGAGTAGAACACAGGGTGGCAAAAGTAGGCTTACAGTTGTAATACAAATACATACTACAATAATTAATAAAGAATCACATAAGAATAAACTGTGTTTTATATACTCACAACGGTAAGCCTACTTTTGCTCACCCTCTACTTACTGTGGGATCAATTTAATTCAGCATATCAGACTTTTGTCAAGTTCCCACTGATTTCCAGAGACTTATCTGCATCAATCCTATCTTTTACCAAGTCTATTCAGTGGCAGAGGGCCAGCCACAGTCATTGACCTTTAAGTGCTTTAAGATTTGCAGAAAACTAATGGACCCTTGCAGATATATTCTGCAAAACATTGACTAAGGAGTACCGAATAACACTCATTCCCATTACCTGACACAAGGGAATGGGATGTTGAGCTTATGAAACTATTCTTGCTAATAAAGTGTTATCAAGCACACCAACATGTTACCAATTTTGAATGATTTAAATGATAAAGTGCAATAACTAACAAAAGACTAAATTTTTATTGTATATATCAGGAATCTACTAAGTATCTGTAGCACTATAGTAGATTGCACTAGGGACCAAGAAGAAAAGGACTATGGTAACAGGTAGCATTTGTTAAGCATTTATATTGGCCAGGCCCTGAGCTAAGAACTTAAGCAAGTCCATTACACGAGGTTGGTACAATTATTAGGTCCATTTTACAAATGAAGAAATCTTGGCTTAGAAAGTTTGTTTCAAAGAAACTCTTATAAATGTTTATTCTCTACCGTAGGTTTGGACACTTCTTACCTCAACGGTTTAAGTTGGAAAGGGCATTTCGATAAAGTTGACCAACAGGTGCACATGTCAACATGGTTGGAAAGACTTCTCTAAGGAGGTGATATCTAAGCTGAGATGTGATGCATGGAAGGGGCCAAGAGAAGAATATACTGGCAAAAAGAAAGTCAGGCGCAGAGGACCTGAGCAGGGGCCACATAAGGGTGTGTTAGGCAACAAATTGAATGCAGAAACAGATCAGAGAAGTGGGTAATCCTCTATTTCACCAGACATTAAAGAGATGTGCGGAAACATAACCAATACCACTCCTTTAAGCACATTTTTGTTACAGTTGAAAATATAGTTCCTTTTTCAATAAAAAATATGTAATGGGTTCATTCCTGTTCCTTTTAAATGAATTAAGTTTTAAAACTTTCGAATAAGCTAAATATGGATAAAATAACCCACACAAATAGAAGCTTTCTGGGGTCCTCATATACTAGTATTTAATGCGGTCAAGGAGTCCTAAGACTAAACTGTTTGCGAACTACTGGCCTGGGTCATTCCCAGCGTTGGATGAACTAGCTTTCTCATTATGGTCCTGGCTGGTCAGGGCTCACAAGTCAAAACATCCTCCTCTCCTCACTCATCCCGGGTCCTGGTCTTGGCGCGGCGCGGCTGGGGAGCCAGGAGGGGGCTTCCGCTCGCACGGGGATGGGTCACCCAGGATCCTCCCAAGTCCTGACCCTGCCGTCCAGCATCCCGCCATCCGCACTCCCACATCCCAGCCCGCCTCCTAGTTCCCAGACACCCTGCCATCCCGGACCCTCCTCTGTACCCCCCCACCCCACCCCGGCCCCCAGGCCCTTGCATTCCGGACCCC